TAATGTACAATCATAATAAAAAGCCCCCAGGTATGAGTGCAGGAGTGAGGAGAAGAAATTTTTACAGATAACAGAAAGGGGGTGTGTTGGGGTTAAGGAATTCCCCCCAGTGCCTGGCCTGGGTCAGCTCAGAATCAGGGCCTCGTGGGGACCCTTCACCCTGCGGGCGGTCCTCTCTGAGGATGATGAGGGAGATGGGAGGCAGGAGGCAGGTGCTGCCAGCAGAGGTCCTGCGTCCAGGGAGGGATCAACATGGCCAACCTTCCCCGGACTGTACTGATCTCAGGCTGCTCATCCGGAATCAGCCTGGAGCTCGCAGTGCAGCTGGCTCGTGACTCCAGGCAGCGCTACCGGGGTAAGGGGCCCAGGGCAGGGCGGAGAGGGCAGGGGTGGGCATGGCCTCCAGGACCTTCAGCCCCCTTGGCACTATTTCCACCAGCCCTTCCCTTCAGGCCGCATTTGTGGGCTCGGGGAGGACCCAGGACCCGTGGAGCTCCCTTCCCACCTCTCCTTGGGAGTCAACCCCTCATCCAATGAACATTTCTTGAGCACCTACTGGATGCCAGGCACTGTTCTAGGTGCTGGAAATACAGCTGTAAACAAAACAGACCCTGATTCGTGGTGTAGTGGGGGAGGGGAGGGAGGACAGACAACAAGCAGGTTTTAAATTTTTATAATATGTCTAGTGCTAATGAGTGCTAAGAAGCAAAATTAAGCCCTACCGGGTTGGCTCAGTGGATAGAGCGCCGGCCTGCGGACTGAAGGGTCCCAGGTTCGATTCCGGTCAAGGGCATGTACCTTGGTTGCGGGCACATCCCCAGTGGGGAGTGTGCAGGAGGCAGCTGATCAATGTTTCTCTCTCATCGATGTTTCTAACTCTATATCCCTCTCCCTTCTTCTCTGCAAAAAAAATCAATAAAATATCTTTTTTTTAAAAAAAGAAGCAAAATTAAGCAAAGGGAACATGGTGGGTGGGTGGTAGTGTTAAGAGGGCTGATCAGGGGGGGTTCGCTCAGGCTGTCCCTAGGGCTCCCCTTCCCCAGCCCTCCCCAGATTACTGCTCCAAGATAAGCCTCTTAAGTGAATCTGACCTTGAGGGCTCAAGGGCTCCTAGAGGACTTGGCCTCCTGGAATTCTGGAGTCAACTGCCCCAGTCTGCACCCCACCCATGGAGACCTCTGGCCCAGAGCAGGCCGGAGTCAAAGTGGACAGAGGGCTGTTACTTAAGCGGAGGCTGCAGGGGGTGAGGCATTGTCCCAGTTGGCAGCGCTGCTTCTCCCAGCCCTCTCTCCACCCTCTGTCTTAGACACAGCACAGCTCGGAGCGCGGCCGTCTGAGTGCCAGTACACAGGACAGCGCTGTGCCGCGTGTGTCCCCGGCAGGCGGAGTGTATGACGCTGCTGAAGGATACGTTTACTGAGTGCTGACAAGGTGCCAGGCTACATGCTTTGCATCTAGTTAGATATTTCATCCGAACAGCACCCCCATGAGGTGCTCACTGTCATTTGTCCCATCTTAGAAATGAGGAGAGCCCTGGCCAGGGAGCTCAGCTGGTTAGAGCGTCGTCCGGATATGCCAAGTTTGGGGTTCAATCCCTGGTCAAGGCACGTACAAGAGTCAACCAATGGATGCATGGATTTTTAGAGCAATGGATCAATCTCTCTCCCTAAAATCAATGTTTTAAAAGAAAATAAATGAGCCCTAACTGGTTTGGCTCAGTGGCTAGAGCGTCGGCCTGCGGACTGAAAGGGTGCAGGTTCGATTCCGGCCAAGGGCATGTACCTTGGTTGCGGGCACATCCCCAGTAGGAGGTGTGCAGGAGGCAGCTGATCAATGTTTCTCTCTCATCGATGTTTCTAACTCTCTATCCCTTTCCCTTCTTCTCTGCAAAAAATCAATAAAAAAAAAAAATAAAAAAAAGAAAATAGCCCTGCCCGGCTTGGCTCAGTGGATAGAGCGTCAGCCTGCGGATTGAAGGGTCCCAGGTTCGATTCCGGCCAAGGGCACATGCCTGGGTTGCAGGCTTGATCCCCAGTGGGGAGGGGGTGTGCAGGAGGCAGCTAATGAATGATTCTCTCTCATCATTGATGTTTCTATCTCTCTCTCCTCCCTTCCTCTCTGAAATCAATAAAGAAATATATTTTTAAAAAAATAGATGAGGAAACCGAGGCACAGGCTGCCAAAGGTTCTTGCCCAAGGTCACCCAGCTGCAAAGTGGCAGAACCTGGATTGAACCCAGGCAGCCTAGCCCCTGGGACCATCCTTGTCACTGTACTGCATGCAGATGCATGTGGCCCCATTTACCTGTGCAGCACCATGAGTCACACAGGCCCACAGGCAATATGCAAATGCCCCCTAGGAGTATGCCTGTGCGATTGTGGGTACACGCATAGGGGGCGTGCTCACATACAAGCGTGTGAGCTCAGCACTCTGATAAAACCAGGTTCAAATCTCAGTTTTAACGCTAGCTAGGGGTGGGACAGAGAGGAAATGTCACCTTCTTGAGCCTTAGTGTGTTAATCTATACAATGGGGATAACTTTACCTACCTGTTCTGGTTACCATTGCTAAATAAATCAAAACTTACGGTGTAGCCCTAGCCGGTTTGGCTCAGTAAGTAGAGCGTTGGCCTGTGGACCGAAGGGTCCTGGATTCGATTCCAGTCAAGGGCACATACCTTGGTTGCAGGCTCCTCCCCAGCCCGGGGCCTGGCTGGGGCTCATGCAGGAGGCAACCAATCGGTGTGTTTCTCTCACATCGATGTTTCTCTCTGTCTTTCCCTCTCTCTTCAACTCTCCCTAAAAATCAATGGAAAAATATCCTCGGGTGAGGATTCAAAAAAAAAACACTTATAGTATAAAAAACTATCATCATTTATCTCACAGTTTACAAAGGCCATGAACTCAGAAGGACTCAGCTGGGTGGTTCTGATTCAGGGCCAAAGGCTACAGCTAGAACAGAGGAGGCCGGAGCATGTCAGGGTTCCAACAAGCATCTCCCTCTCGGGAATCTCAGTGGCTTGAGTTTCCTCCCCAGCTGGTCACCTCAGGACCGCGGGGCTGCTACAGGGTGGCTGAAGGCAGCCAGAGTGAGTGTGCCAGCAAACAAGGCAGGGACTGCAACACCTTTTCTGGCCTCATCTCAGAAGCCACACAACGTCACTAGCCCCATAGTCTATTGGTTCACAGCTAGTCACAGATTCAAGGAGAGGGAAAGAGAGTTCATGCTTGAGGGGGGAGCAGCAAGGTTCTAGACGAGCACATGCAATGAAAGATGTCATGGCCATCTTTGGAAAAGTGTTAGTGATCTGATCATAGGGTTCCTGTGCGGATTTGAGATGGTGCTTATAACAGTGTTCTGCACAGTGTCTGGCACATAGTAGGTATTCAACAAGTTGGAACTCATGCTGATGATGTAAATGTGTATATCATAGCTGCATGTGCACATAGCACATATGTTGGCCCTAGGTGTATATGCATTTCTCCTCAAGGCAATCTGTTTTATAGTTATTTTATTGTCTGGCCTACTAGGCTGTGAATTCCATGAAGGTACAGACTTTATCTTATTTTATGCAAGAGTGTCAGCACCTAGAATAGGACATGGTATGTAGTAGATGCTCAATAAACATGTTGGATGGATGGATGGACGGATGGATGGATGGATAAGCATGTAAAGATATGTACACAAGTGTGAATCTGTGGATGTGTGGGGAATGTAGGTGTGCAAATCTGTGGGTCTCAATCCCTCTGTGACTGCTCAGGCAAGACCACAGAAATGTGCAAGTCCATCCTTAGAGGAAAGGAGCCAGTACCTGCCCCAACTGTTTTCTGTCCCCAGTGGTGGCCACCATGAGAGATCTGGGAAAGAAGGGGACACTGGAGGCAGCTGCCGGGGAGGCTCTGGGTCAGACCCTCACTGTGGCCCAGCTGGACGTGTGCAGTGATGAGTCAGTGGCCCAATGTCTCAGCTGCATCCAGGGAGGAGAAGTGGACGTGCTGGGTGAGACTGAAAAATCCCTGAGGTCACTCGCCCCCTCCCTGGCCTAAGCACAGATCCTCATCACAGCAAGGCCCCTCAGTGTCTGGGCACCAGCTCTCTTGCTTCATCAGTATCCTCTCGCCCTGGACAGAAGGGGTAGACCAGTTGGCCAAAAGTCCAAGGTTTAATGGGAATACAGGAAATAAAATGAAATCTGAGGTCAGAGAGATTTTACTTACGAAAACTTCTCACACATGGAGAACATCATATGTGGTTTGATGAATCATTTGGGGAAGGGAGTACGATGAAGAAGCAACTCATGATTCCATAACCACGTCTAAGGAGGGTGGGTATGGCTGTTTTGAGGTAATTGGGGTCAGAGTTAAATTGCTCATGCATTAAAGTGGAGGTTGTTCCCAGCAGCCCTTCCCCCTCCCAGGGTTCAGGGTCCCCTGTAACAAACGTTGAATTATATGTGAAGATCATCAAGGCTCCACATTTGTCCACCCAAGATACCCTGGACTGACCTGGATTTGGAGTGGGCAGATGGGGTGACTCAGGGAGTGTCCCCTGAGGAGTGACACTGGAAGGGCTGGGGGACTGCAGAGTAACCCTCAGCGTCTCCCCCTCAGTGAATAATGCTGGCGTGGGCCTGGTGGGGCCTCTGGAGGGGCTCAGCCTAGCTACCATGCAGAAAGTCTTTGACACCAACTTTTTCGGAGCCGTCCGCCTGGTCAGAGCTGTGCTTCCGGGCATGAAGAGGAGGCGGCAGGGCCACATCGTGGTGGTCAGCAGTGTCATGGGGCTGCAGGGTAAGCTCTGGGACCCTCCCCAGGGAAGTCCCCCAGTGTCTGACCTTCCTTGGCTGGAAGGATGGCAAATAGGTTTTAGCTCATGTTCTAAATGAGCCGTGTTGAGAAGGCTTCTGAAGCTCAGAAGGAACAATTCTGGGAAAGATGAACTATGTCTGCCCTGGTGCAGGTCTAGGCAGTGGTGGTATAGATGCTGCCAATGGCCATCGACATCCCAGCACCATCCCCACTTCCGAACACCTCCCAAAATCTCTCCCAACCACTGCCCAATAACACACACACACACACACCAGAGCTCCTCTTCCTGAGATTCCTCTTTGACAAACACTCACCACCAGGCCACAGAGCGGCCTAAGTCTGGGATTCTGAAGTTCCTCAGAAGAGAGAGCAGTGATTGACAGTGATGTCTGCTATGGGCCTGCAATGGAAGCCACCTACTTGCCACCCATGCTCTTGGGTTTCTCCTCCTCGAACCCCTCTAGACTCCCTTCCGCCCCTGGGCGGTTCCTCGGATCTGCCCCTCTCCCCAGCTGTCCCCTAGAGAACCCGCCCTATTCCTTATCCTGCCACAGAGAAGCTGCATTTACTTCGCTCATCCCTTTGGCCCCTCATCCAGCCCCATTTACTGCTCAGCAGGACTGAGAAGGGGCCGGCTGATCAGGACTTGTCCTCAGGGCCCTGGGATCCCAGACCCAAGTGGCCCCCAGGGGGAGGAGGATGGAGGGCAGTCAGAGCGTTTCCTGGGCTGAGGACTGAGGGCTGAGGGCAGAGGGAGCACGGCTGGGAAGCAGTGGCACCTGGCATCTCAGGACAGCCTCCCCCTGGCCTCATGTGCTCCCATCACACAATACCATACGCCCATGGCGCTGGCCCCCGATAGCTCCTCATTCCAACCCTCAAACCCTCTTCATCTGTCTCCCAAAGACCCCTTCCTTCTGGACCCACAAAACCCATCACCCAGACCCCAAAGGGTCGCCTTCCTCCAACCCTGTCAGGTGTCGTGTTCAACGACGTCTACGCAGCCTCCAAGTTTGCCCTGGAAGGGTTCTTCGAGATTCTGGCCATCCAGCTGCTCCAGTTCAACATCTTGTGAGGCGGGCCCTACAAGGAAAAGGGGGTATCGAGGAGGTGGGGGCCGGGAGGGATGAAGTAATGAGGGGGAATGAGGGGTGAGAAGGGAAGAGGGACAGTCATGAGCCAGATGGGGTGAGAGTGTGTTGGGGCACCAGACCCTCCCCCGCCCTGCCCCCAGCATCTCCCTGGTGGAACCCGGCCCCGTGGGCACGGCCTTTGAGGAGAAGCTGCTGGAGCAGGTTTCCACCGCCCAGTTCCCAGGCGCCGACCCCGACACCCTGCGCTACTTCCGGGACCTCTACCTCCCAGCGTCCCGGGAGCTCTTTCGCTGTTTGGGGCAGAGCCCCCAGGATGTGGCCCAGGTGAGCAGGGGACCCCAAGACACGGATTAGGTACGTAGGGGGCCCTCCCTACAGAACTGCCGTCCTGGCCCGAGCTCAGGGCGCCACCCCACAGGCCATTGTCAAGGTCATCGGCTCGACCAGACCACCCCTGCGCCGACAGACCAACGCCCGCTACTGCGCCCTGAGAACAGCCGGACCTCCCCCGTGCACACCCAGGTCAGAGGCCACACAGGCCATTCACTCATTCATTCATTCACTCACTCACTCATTCATTCAGCAAATTCAGCCTCCAGGCACAGACCCTTGTGGTCAGGGCTGGGGCAGAGAGAAGGGACCCAGGACCCTGGGCTGAGGAATCCAGAGCAGGAAGCTGGTGCTGCGTCTGGGAAGGCCAGGGGGGCTTCCTGGAGGAAGGGGCATTATCCATGGACATTGAAGGGTGAGACAGGCTGTCTCTCAGCATTTCATTATCTTGGGCCTGGGAATACAGGGATGATCCAAACACCTCCATCACCCTCCCTCCCCCCCCTCCCCCACCGCAATACACACATGCATAGAGCTGGGTTCACCAGGGGGGTCTCCAGACTTTTCTGGTCACACACACTCCATCAACAAAATGTGTTTGTGCACACACCAGCAATGTACATATGCTTTTCATAAAATATAGATTTGTAACCACTAACAATCTCTATATTAAATATTTAATACAGCTCAATTTCTTATGTCTAAATAAAAAATTAAAAAGCAATAGTGTCTGCTTCACACCCATTAGAATGCCTAATATCAACAACAAAAAACGAAACAGAAAATAATAAGCGTTGTCAAGGATGTAGAGAAATTGGGACCCTTGTGCATTGTTGGTGAGAGTGTAAAATAGTGCCGCCCTTATGGAAAACAGTGTGGCAGTTCCCTGAACGATGAAAAAATTATTATATAACCCAGCAAGTTCATATCTGGGTGTGTATTTGCACACCCACGTTCATAGCAGCATGACTCAAACCAGCAACTCAAATGTCCATCAGTGGATGAATGGATGAACACATGTGGCCGATCCATACAGTGAAATGTTATTCAAACTTAAAAAGAAGTTGACACGCCCTAGCTGGTTTGGCTCAGCGGATAGAGCGATAGAGCGAGCGTCGGCCTGCGGACTCAAGGGTCCCAGGTTCGATTCGGGTCAAGGGCATGTACCTGGGTTGCGGGCACATCCCCAGTAGGGGGCGTGCAAGAGGCAGCTGAATCGATGTTTCTCTCTCATCGATGTTTCTAACTCGCTATCCCTCTCCCTCTCCCTTCCTCTCTGTAAAAAAATCAATAAAATATATATAAAAAAAAGAAGTTGACACATGTATGCCATGGATGAAACTTGAGGACATTATCTAAGTGAAATATGCCTTCACAGATAGACAAATACTGTAGGATTCCAATTATATGAGGTCCCTACGGTAGGCAAATTCATAGAGACAGAAAGTAGAATGGTAGATGCCAGGGGCTGGAGGGAGGGGGATGGGGAGTCGGTGTTTAATGGGGAAAGAACTTCAATTTTGCAAGATGAAGGGTTCAGGAGATGGATGGTGGTGATAGTTACACGACAATGTGACCGTACTTAACACGAATGAACTGTACACTTAAAAACATTCAGATGGGCCCTGGCTGGTGTCCTCAGTGGTTAGAGTGTCAGCCTGCACAGGGCAGGGTCTTGGTTCAATCCCCAGTCAAGGGCACATCCCCATCCGGGCGTGTGTAGGAGGCAACCAGTGGATGTATCTCTCTCATATCAATGTTTCTCCGCCCCACCCCTCCTCCCCTCGCCTCCCTTCTACTCTCTCCGAAGAGCAATGAGAAAAATATCCTCAGGTGAGAATTAACAAAACAAAACAAAAATGCTAAGATGCTACATGTTGTGTTATGTATCTTTTTACCACAATTAAAATTATTTGAAAAGTGACAGGGGTCCCACCTGAGTCCCCAACAAATGATCCCAAGTTTCTTGGCTGGCCCTCCTCCGGGAAATCTGGAAGCAAACAGACTCTGGGTGACTGTGGGCAGGCGACTCCCTGGCCTCACCTTCTGTGAAGCAGGGTTCGCAGCGATGGCGCTGAAACAACAGGACAGGCCCCTGCACTGCTCCGCTTCACCTGGGGTTTTTGCTGTGGTTCAGGCTCAGCCACCACCTTGGCACGCCCATCTCCAGGCAACACTTTTTTCATTCATGTTTGCTCTGCAGCCTCCTCAGATGGAGGCACTCAGAACCTCCCCAGTTCGTAAATGAAGAAACGAAGGTTGTCAGGAGCAGAGGAGAGGGACAGGAGTCAAGTCCAGGGCCGTCCAACTCTGTTTCTGCTGGTCTTCAGGGGTCTCTAGTGGCCTGGAAGAAGGGAAATTGAGTCTGGGGCCCTAGGAAGAGACGTCTGAGAGATGGGAAGGGGGGGGGGGTACTCGTATGTTTTATCAAATTAAGTTCTCTCTCCTCTTCCTTATTGGATTTTTGAAACGATGTTGTAATACCTTTAAAAGAACATATGAAAATAGATAGTGGGGATGGTTGCACAAACGTGAATATACCCAAATCCACTGATTCTGCACTTTAAAATGGCAAACTTTATGGTACGTGAATTACATCTCAATTTGGAAATTGATTTTTAAAAGGCTATATAAAGCGCACAGATGCAGGAGGTCTTTGGATTGCCCCAGGAGGCTCGCCCCTGGAGCACCTCAACCACTGTCCTCCGCCTTTGGCTCCCGGTTGTGTTGGCTTCTGCCAATGGGAGGCCCGGGTAGGAGATCAGAGGGTGGGAGGAGGAAAACCAGCGCTGTCCATCGGGTCTCGGTGGAGCCACAGAATCTCTCCATCTAAGGCTCAGCTCCAGCTCTTGAGAACCACCCCCTCCCCTGGCCCCTTGCAGCTAAAGATGAAGGTGGGACCCACAGCTGCCAGCAGAGGGCACTGCGCCAGCCGCCACAGGACTCCCTGCCCTGCCCTGCCCTTTCCTTCATAATCCCACCCCCCCCCACCCCCACCCCCCGTCTCAGGACTCCCCAGGGACCCACTTGAGTGTGCTCTCCCTTCCATCCAGGATCCTGGCCGAGGTCACACACGTGCCTTAGACAGCAGAGGAGCAAACGGCGCACTCGCTAGACCACCAAGAGAACATTATCGATATTCGCGGCCTGCCTTCCCCCAAAGGTCTCCAACCGTCCTGAATTTTATGTCCAACATTTCCTTGCTTCCTAAAATCTCCTTTAACTAAATCATCTTAGGAGACAAATTGCTCTCTTTGTCAAGAAGGAAAAGCCACCCTAACCGGTTTGGCTCAGTGGATAGAGCATCGGCCTGCGGACTGACGGGTCCCCGTTCGATTCCGGTCAAGGGCATGTGCCTTGGTTGCGGGCACATCCCCAGTAGGGGGTGTGCAGGAGGCAGCTGATCGATGTTTCTCTCTCATCGATATTTCTAACTCTCTATCCCTCCCCTTCCTCTCTGTAAAAAATCAATAAAATATATATTTTTTTTTAAAGGAAAAGCCATCATATCATAGTCACCATAAGTGAAGCCGAACTGGATATTCATTTGTGGGTGAGGCGTACAGTAACCCAAACCCCCCACTCATAGACTTGCTGTGCGAAGAAACACCAGCCCTTCCCTCCCAGCTTCTCTTGCAGCTAGAGGGTGAGCGCGTAAGCCCCATTCCACTCAGCAGATGCATATGACTTAGAATCGAGAGGCGGCCACACAGAGGAGGCAGGATCAGCGAGGACACGCGGCAGAGGAGGCAGGAGCCGTGTATTGCCAGGCTTGACAGCAAAACCTGGAGCTGCCAGCTGGTTCCAGGGGCGATGGTTTAAGCTGTGGCCTCAGCTGCTGCCCTGCATCCCCACTTTGTTCCTTTTCTTTTTTCCTTTTTTTTATCCTTACCCGATGATATGTGTTATTTATTTTAGAGAGAGAGGAAGGGAGAGAGAGAAACATCGATGTGAGCTAGAAACATCCATCGATTGCCTAAGTATGTGCTGTGACCGGGAATTGAACGTGCAACCTTTTGGTGTCTGGGATGACGCTCCAACCAACTGAGCCAGCCAGCCGGGGTCACTTTGTTCCTCTTTATCTTCCAAGGCTGGTGATTGCATGAGCCCCCAGCATCCAGCCAATAAATTCCTTTGCAGCTTAAATCACCCTGAGTCAGCTTCAGATGCATTTAAGGAAGAAGCATCACCGATCCAGATGGCAACTATAAAAATAAGTGTGGGGGGTGGGGGAGACAACTGTTATTAACTAGCTGGATGCTATTGCTATTGTATTGTTTACCATGGAATCAACAGAGATTGGCAGTTCAAAGAGTGTTCAAGACAGACCAACCTTTGCCTCTTTATTTCAACACTCATACCTGATCCCCCTGTCCTCCCCATCGTAACAAAGACAAGTTCGTTCCTCCAGTGGCTCCGGCCAAAAATCTTGGAGTCATCTCTAGTTCCTCTCTGTCACACCTCACAGCCAATATATCAGGAGATCTTGTTCACGTGACCAACCACGTCGCACACCTTCGTGGTCTCCACACTAGTCCAGCCACCACCATTTCTCCCTTGGAGTATTGCTCCAGCCCTCTTCCCCTCCCGCCTTCTGCATTTGCCCCTACAATCCACTCTCCACATAGCAGCCCAGGAGAGCCTTAAGAAGATCTTTTGAATAAGTAAAATGTTCACAATGGTGGGGTTGGGGGTTTTTTTGTGGTTTTCTTTTTTACATAATTAAAGGATTTTTTAAAAAACAATTCTGCCCTGGCCTGTGTGGCTCAGAGGTTAGAGCATTGGCCTGAGCACCAAAGGATCCACAACCAATTGATGTTTCTCTCTCTCCCTCTCTCTCTCTCTCTCTCCCCTCTCCCCCTCCCTCCCTTCCACTTTCTCTAAAAATCAATGGAAAAAATATCCATGGCCCTCCTGGTGTTGGTCAGTGATTGAGCATTGACCTATAAACCAGAAGGTCATGGTTCAATTCCCAGTCAGGGCACATGCCTGGGTTGTGGATTTGATCCCCAGTAGGGGGCGTGCAGGAGGCAGCCGATCAATGATTCTTTCTCATCACTGTTGTTTCTATCTCTCTCTCCCTCTCCCTTCCTCTCTGAAACCAATAAAAAAAATATATATTTAAATATATATATCCATGAACGATAATTTATGCAATTAGTCCTGTACTGATGAATTTTGGATTTCAAGTCATAGTAACAAAGGACATACCCAAAATGATTCTACTAAAACAGAAAAATAATGTCACCCCTCTTTTCAAAACTCTTCGATGGTTTCCCCTCTTACTTAGACTCGAATCACCAACCGTCAGGTAGGTCTCCTACCTGATCTCATCCCTGAATACCTGTCTCCACTCATCTCCCACTCTCTCCCCTTCACCCACTTCATTCCAGGAACACCGACCTCCTTGCTGCTCCTTGAACATGCTGTGCACACTCCCGCCTCAGGGCCTTTGCGCTGGCTGTTCCCTCTGCCTGGAATGCTTTCCTCAGATGGCCACGTGGTTTCCTGCTCCACCTCCTTACGGTGCTCAAAGGTCACCAGCCCAGAGAGGTCCCCCCTGACCCCCCTGTCACTCCATCCCCTTAAACCACGTTCTTGCTCATCACTGACATACATGCTACAGCTATAGTCACAGCTTGTTTCTTGCCCATCTCTACCCACTAGAATGTCAACTTCATAGAGAGGAGATTGTTGTCTGTGTGCTCGGTCGTATCCCCAGGATCCACAACATGATCGATACCAAAATATCTGATAAGTGAATGGTGGGTGGGTGGGGAAGTTAACACATGACAGTGAGACCCTCCTAGCCCTGGGCCATGGTTGGGACTGGAAGTGACTACGCTGGGCACCTCCTGGCTGCACAGTCCAAGCCGAGCGCTCTTGACAC